CCCCCCCCCCCCCCCCCGCAAGAGACTGCTCCCAAATTTCCAAAAGAAGAGTCCCTTTGGGGTGTCACAATGCTGTAGTATATGTATAATTGTTATTGTTATATAATAATTATCAGTATCTGTGTTGGTGTATATATTGATCCTTATGGTCTTATCTAACTCCCCTTTTCTCTCTATGCAAATAAATTGTATATAGTTAAGTATTGACTGTTGCATGATCAAAAGTTTTGAGGCTCCAGGTGTCCTGTAGGGAGCCTTTCTACACCCTAGAAAGGGAGCTTCAAGGCAGGGACCCCAGGGATCCATAATTGGGTGCAGTTGGCAGGTAGCTCCACCACCTGGGTTACAGGGTATTAACTCCAAACGTGAATGATCACTAGCACTAGTTAACTTTAACACAGACTAACATTCCTTAGAATTAGCACCTACTGACCCTAATGTGTAATCTCACTCACAGGTACCTTTCTATATATTTAGGTTATTTTGAGAGTCACAGAAGGGCTCTTGGTTAGAACCACCAGTTTAACAGTATAGGTGGCAGAAGGTGGGGGGGAGCTAACTGGGTTCACCCCCTGCCAAACAGAAGCAGCAGGTAGGGCTCCAGGACTCCCTGGCTGCAGGCTGCTGCAGCAGATGGGGAGGAGTGCGCAAACAGACATACCCTGCACAGCCAGGATCACAACCAGCTGAGCAGGCAGGTTAGTTTCTTTATGCTTACATTACCTGGGTTTGGTGGCGGGGGGCGGGGTGGGCAGATCAAGACCCCCACAATGCAGGAGGCAGTGGGGTTGGGGCAGTAGTGAATCATTCACCTCTGTCTCACTCCCTGCTGCACTGTGGGCATTGCCTCATTACCCAGCCCAGCTGGGGCCTCATTCATAGGGATGGGATGGATCATGGGGCAATCGGAGCCAAGCAGCCAAGGGGGGCAAATGCCCCCCCAATCTTTGTACAGGGCATGGCTGCCTTTGAAAGTGATGCAGCGCGGTGTGGAACAATGTGAGTCCTGCTGCTAAGTGGTCTGGGCAGTGAGGGACATGGTGCTGAATTGCACTGCTTTCAAAGGCAGTGGTGAGGCAAGGAGCAGGCAGAGCACAGCTTGCAGCTGCATCCCACCCTTGCCTTGTGCAAACAAAAGGGGGCCACGTGCCCCCCTCAGGTACCTGGTGCCATGGCTTCTGGAGAAGCTGCCAGGCTTCACCAGGAACTTCTTGGGGATGATGCAGAGTGTGCTCAGGGGTCCTGTGGTCTCCGTTCCCCCCGTCCCACTGGTGCAGCGTACGATGGCCCTCTTCTGAGCTCCCCCAAGTGTTGTGAGGCTGGGGCCAGGGCCAAGGCCGGGGCTGAGGCCGGGGCTGAGGGCAGTGTGGGGAGGCAGCCAGGGACATTGCAGGGCTGGGTGTGGGTGCGGTTTTGCAGGGGCCTCCGGTGCTGGGCAATGACTCCGGGGATGGAGGAAGGGACAGGCACAGTGGGCCCTAGTACCAATCCCGGGTCTGGCTCTGTTCCAATCCCTGTCTGGTCCCCGCCCCGCTCTGCTCCCCCCCATGCCCTTCCCCGACATAATTTCCGGGCGGGGGGCACATGTGGACAAGCATGCATGCGCTCAGCCCCCCACACCTTTCCCTCTACCCCCCACACCTATGTTTAACATAGCCTTTCTGGTTTCCCCTTAAGGCCAGCCAAAGCAAAACTTCTAGATTTAGAGAAACAGTTTTCTTAAAATGTGAGACAAAGAGTTATGGGCCTTGAATCCTCTGCCTCCATGCCTTCCATTCTACTCCACCAACCCCGCCACCCCTCCCTGTCAACTAGCTTGTGGCTCAGCCACAGGGAGGAATTGATCTTCTTTAAGGGCACCGAATACACCCAAAGTCACATGCAGTGAAGCAGGTAGCCTTTCTTTAACAGAGCAGTATTTATTGGTAATTTTCATTACAGCAGGAAGAGTCCGTATGTTTCTGGATGCCTAGGCCAAATCTCAGGAAAAGATTCAGTTATCCAGATGGCTAGGCTGTCTTTCTCCAACACTTTTGTGCTCTCCATCTCCCTTTTCCCTTCTCTAATATATCCCGGACTCTGCTTTTTAAGCCAGTTTTTCACCCTGTGACTTTAATTTCTCTTTGGGAACCAGGGATGACACAATACCATCAGCTGATGGGGCCATGAAACATGATGGTCCATTGTATTCTTTACCCTACTTTGCTCCCAAGTTTCATCCTCAAAAAGATTAACCCATTTTTCTTTAGTATGTAACAGCTTACTATTAAAGCAGGGAAAATTAAGCATGCAACATTATGCTAGAGTACATGCAAAACATATTGAATGCAGTGATAAATGATTCTCAAAAATATTTTCAGAGAAGACCACAACACAGGCACTAAGCAGATAGCAAGTGGGTATAGGTAATTCACCTCAGACTGAGCATCTAAAAAGAAATGTCTGCATATTTGCAGGATACTATTTGTTGATGTACAAGGGAAAGTGAATATCATGAGCCAGAGCCTGTTTTTCTTTGAGTCAGTGGTATTTCTCCCTATGTTTCAGGAGATAACAGGGTTGCACCCAATCTGTGCGAGAGTCTTTTAACACTAGGCAGACCATGAAGCAGTGCACTATGTGAAAAGCTGTATCTCTTATTTCCTTGATCCTATGCTGTAAAAAATCACTAGTTCCTAAAGTAAGACCTCCCAGACTGGTGGCTATATGGATTTAAATACTAGGGCTGTGCAAAATTTTGCTGGGTGTTTCTTTTGAAGATGTTTCAATGCGTTTCAAGCTTGAAACAGTGAAATTGAAATGAAACAAAAGGCTTTGAGACAGCATTGAAGCAAAACAAGAGCACTCAAAAAGTTTCAAAAGATTTGAAACATTATGAGTTTCAAAGACGGTCTTACTTGGCTTCAGCTCCGGTCCCAAGCAGCAGTGGCAGCCTCCTTCCATTGGGCATGCAGATCTGGCAGCTTCCACTCCTGTGAGGGCTGTGGGGTTGTGCTGGACTTCTCCTGGGGGTGCGAACCCCCAGATCCACACACTGGATGACAGGAGGCTGCTGCGACTGCCTGGTACTGGTGACAGCAGCAAACATCCCCAGCACTGGGCGGGGGATCCACAACCAGAAAGCAACTTCATCCTCCAATCATCCAGTGCAGATCTGGGGGATTGCACCCCTGGGAGGAGTCCTGCACAGCCCAGGAGCCCTCCTGGGGGTGCGAGCCCCTGGATCTGTGCCCCGATGAGAGGAGGCTCAGGCTGCTTGTCCCACCTGGGATGGCGCTGGGCACAGGCTGTGTCCAACACTGGAGAAGATAGCAGATCCAGGGGCTTGCACCCCTTATAGGGCTTCTGGGCTGTATCAGACTCCTCCTGGGGGTGCGAGCCCTTGGATTTGGGCTGGATGAGAGGAGGCGCAGGAGGCAGCAGCAATCTTCTCCAGTGGTGGGCACAGGCTGTGCCCAGTGCCAGCCACAGGCGGCAGCAGCAGCCTCCTTTCTGAGGGGAGGATTCTGGCACAGCCCTGCAGCCCTCCCAGGGGTGTGAGCCCTGAGATCTGCCTGCCAGATGAGAGGAAGCTGCAGCTGCTGGCAAGTGTCAGGACTTTTGGTTTGACCAATTTGAGGTGCAGTTTCACAGAAATCTCTGTACCTATCTGCTTGACAAGTTGAAGGCTTCATGCCCTCAGAAGGGGGTACCATCCATGCAATTTTCATCCAAATCAGACACGAAATGACAAAGTTTTAGGCATTTTCATGATTCCTCATTATAGCCTATGGGCTAAACGTCAAAAATCATCAAAATGGTTTTGATGAAACAAAATGGGACAGTGCTTTGAAATTACATGAAATGACAAAATGAAACACTGTCCCTTCAAAACGGTGAAACAGATATCAAAACAAAATGATGGTATTTTGCACAGCCCTATTAAATACCTGTCACCATTGTGTCTGCCCTGGCAGTCTCTGTGTTATCTCTTGGATCCACCTTCTCTTCAAACACTGTCCTGAATGCAACCTTGACAGAGTCCCTGAACCTCCGCTTCCTGTAGCTTCCAACTAGGAAGTAAATAAAGGGGTTGATGCTGCTGTTTCCAGAAGCTAACAGGAAACTGAAATCAATAAGAAAAGGATCATAAGTGTAATTCTGGGAAAAGGTCACAGTACTGAGGGGAACAGCAAAGAAGACAAAGAAGAGGACAGTCAGCACGATAACAAGATAGAGCTTTCTTGGCTGCTGTTGCTGAGAGCTATGTCGGATCTTGATGAACAGTATGATGCTGGATAGGACCATGATGGGGGAGAAAACCAGTAAATTCGTAGCAGAGAGGGGTGTGAGCATCTTGATGCAGGTTTCAAAGGAGTACAGAAAGCAAAAGGGAGATGCCAGCCCAGCCATCAGACAAGCAAGAGTCCAAAGCAGGGTACACACAATGGCAGACAAGTGCTTTGGACGGTGGCATTGATACCAGATGGGGTACAGAATGGATAGGCACCTCTCAGTACTGATGGCTGTCAAGAGATACAGGCTGATACTGTACGTGAAGAGAACCAGCATGTTAAATAACTCAATTAAACGAATGATGTTTAAATTAAACAGGAAGATATACATGTTTTCAAAAAATAAGAAGAGAGTTGTACATAGAAGATAGCCAAAATCAGCAATGGCCAAATTCATGATGTAGGTTGTGAAGGGATTCCTCTTGATACAGAAGCCAAGGAACCAGAGGACAGTTCCATTCCCCACAAGCCCCAACAGGCAGATGAACACAGTGATACTGTCAATGATCAGTAAAGTGGTATAATCTATCTGGGGATACTCCTCATAGTCTGTTGTTGGATAAAGGTTGGTCTGTGTATTGGACTCAGACATGATGAATCCTGTGTGGGATGCCAATTACTCTTCTTCCACTTCTCTCAAACACACCTGTCAGTTGAGAGGAGACAGAGATTGGGGAAGGCTAGTGAGTGTGACATCCCCAGTTCATTGTTTCCCTGGGAATTCCTCCCCCTTTCCAGCATCATAACAACAAATGGTCAGATGCCAAAGAGTATGAAATACACCCAGGGAAACAACAGGCACGGAGGCATGTGTGGTGTAGAAACAGATATGTAGAACGTACCAGCTTAAACAATACGAGAGGCGGAAGGTCATAGTGAGGGAGAGAGGAAAGGGAAAAGAGATGAGCATCAGCAGTTGGTGTAGGTGGGGCAGAGAAGGTGCTGTCAATCATGCTTGGACAGTAGGAGGAATAGACCAAAAGTTGGAAGTTTCAAGACAACTGTAAAGAATACATCCAATGAATCCTTACCTTCCCCCTCTAGAGGGCCCTGTGGAAAACCTCCAAACAACATGGATATTATGAATTTCTCAGTCAGTCCCTGGCAGCACCCATTAAAAAAGTGCCTTCTTCATCTTGTGAAGGGTGAAACACCAAAATCAAAGTGGCTGGACTTCTGACATGTGCTGGTTTTATAACAGTTTGCACTCAGCTTCATTTTTTATCATCACTGGTTTTGATGTCCTAACTAGAAAGGAAATGGCCTGACCATGATTAGCACTCACATGACAAGGATTGTTGTTTCCCCCATTCAAGTTCCTGCACTACTCTAGCTTGTTCTGAAGCTGGCTTTTAGAACTCCAGACCCACTATCAATAGGATATACTGCTCCTCGGATGAGGGTGAATTGGAACATATTGTCAAGGGATGTAGTAAATTCTCTCACTTGGAGGTTTACCTCAAGATAAGAATTCATCATGTACTTTATTAAATACACAATAAGTGATGATTAGATGGCCAATTTGTCAGAGGTTCCCCATGTCAACACTTGCTTGGGACCCCCATCTTACACAGTCCATTGGAGCATGAGAAGTAGGCACAGTTCCAGCAACCATGGGGGAGGACTGGAACAGAGAGTGCTATGGAGAAAGGGTAAGTCTAGGGGCCAACATCAGCAGTAAACAAGGTCAAAGACAGAGAAAGGAAAAGCAAAAAGAGAGATGTATAGAGATGAGAAGTAGTAGTTTGGGGTGGGAAGGGGGAGTCATTAGCCACCCTCAGACAATAAATAGAAAAAATCATAGAATCATAGAAAATTAGGGTTGAAAGGGATCTCAGGAAGTCATCTAGTCCAACCCCCTGCTCAAAGCAGGACCATCCCCAACTAGATCTTCCCAGCCAAAGCTTTGTCTAGTTGGGTCTTAAAAACCTCCAAGGATGGAGATTCCACAACCTCTCTGGGTAACTGATCCCACCTCTCTGGATAACTACTACCTTCCTAGTGAGAAAATTCTCCTAATATCTAACCTAAATTTCCCTTGCTGCAACTTGAGACCACTGCTCTTTTTCAGTCATCTGCCACCACTGAGAACAGTCTAGCTCTATCCTCTTTTGAACCCCTCTTCAGGTAGTTGAAAGCTATTATTAAATCCCCTCAGTCATCTCCTCTCTAGATTAAATAACCAAAGGTTTCTGCAGCCTCTCCTCAGAACTCATGTCCCCCAGCCCCCTCACCATTTTTTTTTTTTTGCCCTTCGCTGGACTCTCTCCAATTTGTCCACATCCTTTCTGTAGTGTGGGCCCAAGCCTCAACACAGTACTCTAGATGGGGCCTCACCAGTGCTGAATAAAAGGAATAGTCACTTCCCTTGACCTGCTGGCAACCCTCCTACCAATGCAGTCTAGTATGCCTTTACCCTTCTTAGGATCAAGGGCACACTGTTGGCTCATATTCAGCCTATTGTTCATTATGGGTGGGTGGGCTGGAGGCCAGAGAAGGTGGCAGGGAAAGTGCATGGCATGCTGGAAATCTGGGTGGGCTTTTGGAATCATTGGATTGGGTGCCTCTGAGCTGGGGCAGCCCCCCAGCCCACAAGAAGCCCACCTGGATGAACCTGAGGAGCATTGCTGCTGCAGAGAGAAGGACCCCCCACACCACCTGGAACTCAGGGGCTTCTCAGCCTGGCAACAGCTGACCCCTGAGCTCAGATTTCTAGCCCTACCCTCCAGCATAGCTACTACTCCCCCGCAGCTTGTGGTCATCAGCAAACCTGCTGTATATACACTCTATGCCATCTTCCAGGTTGTTGATGAAGATATTGAACAAAACCAGGCCCAGGACTGACCCCTGGGACACTCCAATTGATACTGGCTACTAACTAGATATTGAGCCATTGATTACTACCCTCTGAGTGCAATGCTTCAGCCAGTTTTCTATCCACCTTGCAGTCCATTCATCCAGCCTGATTCAAAATGAAGGATTAGAAGTATGGAGAGAAAATAACCCTGTCCCATCAGTCAAGAAGCCATCTCTTCAAACCCTTATCTTTCTTTCCTGAGGGGCTGAACTAGATATTTATGGGACAGAATAAATTTCCTCCAGAAGTGCAGGCAGTATCCCCCAATCACTCACTCTGATCTTCCCTGTAAGGTCAGTAATTTGTTACATAGGCACCATGAATTTCCTGGTCCCTGCCTAGGCCTCAGAGCAGTACCATCCTCATGTTTTTCAGGGTGACTAACAGGTCACAGTGTCCATACTTGTAAACACTGTGCAATTTTATAACATCTGCCAACATCAATGCTCTGCTTCCCTTCTCTAATCACTGTTTTTGATCTCCTAACTGTAAAGGAAATGGCCTGACAATGATTAAGACTCATAAGATGGGGGTCATAGAAAACAGCAGTTTCACCATTCAGATGCAGAGGTGCTCTAAAGTTTTTTTTTTGTTTTTTTTAAACATGTAGGACTCCATCCCTACTGTTGGTAGAGCGCACAATTCCCTCATACATGCAGGTGTATACCTCCAGTAGATGTAAACATAGAAAGATCCAATGAATGGTCAGGAATATCAGCAAGTTTGGAAGAGTAAACAATGCAAATCTTTAATGATGAGAAGGGTGGATTATAAGAGATTGCCCAGAGATGGAGTAAGGTTTCCTTGCTTTATAGTCTTTTGATCAAGTCAGGGGTCAGATCCTAGTCCTCATTTTAGGCATCCAAATGCTTTCTACATGTGGAACTCTCTTACTTCTAGTAGCTGTGTGAAGGTGAGATTACATGTTACAATTATTCCATGTTAAGAGCACTTACAATTTGAATAATCAAACATTAAGGCTTGTTAACAACTGCTAAGTGCCTTCTAGGCATATCAAAGTTATGCCACTTCAAATGAAGATTATCGTGGAGCCATGCTACTCCGCATGAGTAAAATAAACTACTGGCTGGTCACCTGAGATAAAACCACCAATTTATCGTCCTCCAGTATCCCAGGAGGCACTACCCCTCAGTGTAGTAGCTATCATCCAGGACTCAATGGACCTGGCCTGATAGGACAGCAGGTAAGTGAGGAAGGGATGACTGGGGGGGGGGGGGGGGGGGGGAGGGAGGGGAAAGAGGTGAAGGGGATCTGAGAGGAGGGGTGTATGGGGAAAGGGGAGGGAGGCAGAAGTGGAGGGTGGCATGAGGACTGGAAAGGTGGGTAGGAGAGGAGATCATAGGAGCTCAGGGAAGCTCAAAACTCATAGGATCACTGCCCCCACCCCCAGGTTGCACCCCCAATTGCCTTTGAAATTGTCCTGATTTCTCCTTCCACCCTCCATCAGCCCCTCCACCCTCATATAGAAATATGCTGCCCTGCTTCCCTGCTAAGCCCAAGAGTGGTGGTAGCAGCACCAGTGTGGGGGAAGCCCCTCCCTGCCTGCTCCTGGGTTCCCTGAAGTGCATAATACTATTATCTAATGCCTGTCAGGCCCCTTGGCTGCATAGCAGCTCCCCGCTATGGAAGAGGAGGTAGGGGCGAGAAGCTGCATCTGCAGGGCCCAGTACAGAGTGGGACACTATGCTTGGGGGCTGTGCAGGATTCAGGGAGTCAGGAAGGGAGAAACACTCCCCCTACCCACCATCACTGCCACTGCCACCACTCTTGGTCTGATCAAAAGAGCAGGGTGGTAATCCAGGGGTGGAGAAGCCAGTGTAAAGACAGGGGCACAAACCAGGAGATGGCTGGGAGTAGTGATGCAATTTGAAGGATAGAGGAGGCTGATGGGTGGTGGAGAGAATACTAACCCTTAATGTGCCACTGATCGTTACATCTTAAATCTTACTAGCATTCCTTTCAGTCAGAACACAAGGTAGCACTGCTCTGGAGTTACTTGACAGCAAGAAATCATTGGAGCTACAGACACAACTGATTCACCGAGGAAAATTAAAATCAGAAGAGAACAAAACTCAAGGGTGTGGACCTTGGTTACACAATGAAGCTAAGTGCTTAGGCATAGGGGTTCTTATATAAGACAAAATCTAATATGAGAGGGTTAAAGGCAATGAGGGAGTGCCATAAAAACAGCAGACAGGGTTGAATAGTATACAGGGGGCACATTTACATGTGCAATTAATGCACGTGAATTCACTATACAGCAAATTCAGGGACATTAAATTGCTCCCAGGGGCATGTCTATCTGTTCACTTGGGTTGAGAGTAAATTGAGCCTGACAGGAGCAGCCTAGACCAGAAATGATACTCCCCTGCTCTTCCCCCTTGTAGCATCCAGAAGGAGCTCCTGGCTCACCCAGGTGCTAGCCCCAGGCTTGTAAAGGGCACTTGGGTCAGTCACAGGCTTGTAGGGGGCCCCAAGGGTAGCTCTGGGCTCACAGGAGGCACTGGGGGTCAGATCTGGGCTCTGGAAGGTGGGAGGGAGCTGTTCCCAGGGTTCTGAGGACTTTGAGAATGGTCCAAACTTGAGATGGGAGAAGGAAGAGAAATAGGCAGAGAGGGTGGAGACTACTGATGTATTATATTTATGTTGGGGTAATCAGTGATGGTACCTCATCAAGCTGCTGCAATGTCACAATACCATCACCTAATAATGTGACCTTGTTACGCAGTGCCACAGACTCTGTGGCTTGACTTTTTGTGTTGCCTTGTGAATTCCAAAGTGGAAGAACCTTAAGTAGAGGAAAGCCAAAAAGGTAGGCTTCTCTTTCCCATTATTTCAAGAGCATCCAGTGACAAAATCAAATTTTGCACCCAGGACACTCACATAATTGAGACACATCAGTCCTGCTCCTATGGAACATACCTCCACATCAACAACCAGACCAAGCCAAGGCTAGCACACTGTTTGGCCTCCTCTTCTTAACAGGGAGACACAAGTACTAGAGCAGGGGTGGGCAAAGTGCAGCCCGCCAGGCCATTCTATCTGGCCCGAGGGACCCCTAAACATTTTAGAAAATTAATATTTATCTGCTCCTGGCTGCCTGCTGTGTGGCCCTCAATGGCTTGCCAAAAGTCAGTAAGCAGCCTTCCACCCAAAATAATTGCCCACCCCTGGGCTAATTAATGGGTGATCTGTGGTTATAGTGATGTACTGGCACCTCTTCCCAGGGTGTACCTGGACACCCACGTGTGTACCACCTGAT